GTACACGGGCCTCTCACTGTTGTGGTCTCTCCCGTTGCGGAGCACAGGCTCCGGACGCGCAGGCCCAGCGGCCATGTCTCACGGGCCCAGCCGCTCCGCGGCCTGTGGGATCTTCCCGGACCGGGGCACGAACCCGTGTCCCCTGCATCGGCAGGCGGACTCTCAACAACTGCGCCACCAGGGAAGCCCTCTTAACGATTTTTAAGGGTGTAAAGAGATCCTGAGTCTAAAAGTTTTGTGAACCACTGGCTGAATTGCTCTCTCTCTGCCTATCTATTTATGCAGGTTGACTAAGAAGTGGAGAGAATTAGAAGGGGCACTTATGCTATGGATTTCTACTGTCTTATATTCAAGACTGAGTACACTCCAGTAAGACTTATATAGAGGCAGTCAGCTGACCATACAGTTATGCAGAAAGCAAAGTACTACTGTTTACTAGACTACACTCAACCAAGCACTCTTCTCACCTGTAACTGGACCACCAGCTGAAGTCATGGGAGGCAAGAAGATTCCTGTTACTGGCTGGGATATTGAAGGTTTCTGTTCCACTTGAAGAGGTTGCTGAACCTGAAAAGTGATACCTTCCTCTTCATCTTCTTCTAAATCTGAGAGGTGATAGATGGCATCCTTGGGCAACTGGGTAAAGCCTTTAGTGATGACACCTGGTCGTGGGTCAAGAATGGTTCCTAAATTTGGTTGAGCAAGCTGCTGCCACTGGTGCAGAGTTTGTGATCCTGAGTATGCAAACCAAAAAAGGAACGTGTTTTAAATTTCCCACAAATAATAAATCTTGAAAGAAGCTAAAACTGTATGTGTAAAAAAGTAATGATAATAATGAAACTACTTATTTGGTCTTAATATTTTAGTAAAACTTGTAAATTAAAGTTATCTGTGGAAGATTAACAAGATGATAAAGGTATGAATAATAATCTGTTCATTTCAAAAGTTAACTTTAAAAAGGAAATCTAAAGCAGGGATGAAAAAACCAAGACAACACCCTTAATAGGAACTAGGATGCTGAGGCAGTGATGAGAAAGAAGATACAGTTATCAGGTCGGGTTGTATTTTCCCAGGTGACAAAAATCAATACTCTTTTGTCCTGGAACTATGCCTATGAACTTTGAACTCAAAAGCCAGGCTCCTAGGTTGGAAGTCACCTTGAATTACCATGGCTTTTTTTGTATATTTCTCAACTCATATGTGCTCATGACTCTCCTTTCACCAGGCTCTCGGGGAGAGTAGGAAAGCGAAGGAGATGATAAAAAAGGGAGGATCAATCCTCGTGGTTTCTGTCTACGAATACTGGTGAATGATCATCCCAAGTACCTGCAGTGTCTAATTGTCACTAATAGTCATATAATCCTAAAAATGGCAACTCTGACAAATACCTGGACTATTAATGAATAAAACGAACTTATAGCACCTTTGAGTTTGAGGGGTCCTTATAGGTTACTGACTCAAAATTTTGTCTAATGCAGACTCTTTCATGATAATAGCAGAGGATCATTTGAATACTGTCAATATTGCATAAAACAAAAAGATCTGTTTTGAATTCAAGTTCTTAGGAGAGAATAGAAACTGACCTGAAATTAACAGAACTGAACAAGAGAAAAATACAGACACACATATCTGTAAGTAACTGGCACTTTTTGGGTAAAGAACTTTTTTTTGAAAAGGAAGGTAGAGATGAAGCATTACATATAGATTATTTTTATTCATCTATCATATCCTGTTTATCTTACCATGAAAACTGCTATCAAGGATATTCCTTAGCAAAGAACAAGAAAAGATATCTCCTCCTCCCTCACATTTGTAAAAAAACAGTATCAGTAGAAGAGAACTGACAGCTGATGGCTTGGAGAATGCAAATCTCTTCATTCATTTTCCACAAAGTTCTGCAAGGTCACACACACAGCGAAGATTTAGGGATAATAAAGATGTCTTCTGCACTTAGGGTTCTTATAATTAAAAGAGAAATCTCAATTCCAGGGGAAGGCAAAGCCAACAGACAACATGGCTTAGAAACAACCCTTCCTTACTTATTACCTTCAAGGGGCTTGACAATTTGCAATTTTTCAGGCATAAAACCTCGAAGGCAACTGGCACTGCTCAGGTCTGTGATCTCTGACTGGTCAGTGCAGAGGGAGGCAAGGCTCTCTGTGGGGATGCCACAGTCACTTCCCCCTTCTTTCTGGTCAGCCAGAACCTGGATCTTCCGTTGCCATTCTTCAGCAAAGAACTGCTTCTCACTTAAGTAGTTCTGTCGCCGCAGACTCAGGCGATGCAGGGCTGTAGCCAAATCGCTCTCTGCAGAGCGTCCTGGTTGACAGACCTTCTGGACGTTCCTATGGGAAAAACACATTCACTGACTAGATCTGTGAGGGGCATAAGCATAGCATAGACCTCTCCTTTCCACAATGGTGAATGTTCAAGAGATTGATCTTAAAAACACATATCTTTTCTTAGATACCTGGAATACAGAAAGAGTAACAACAAAACCAAATCTCTAATATATATATATATATAATATGTTTAGTTTTTATAAATTTATTTATTTATTTTTGGCTGCACTGGGTCTTCATTGCTGCACGTGGGCTTTCTCTAGTTGAGGCGAGCGGGGGCTACTCTTCGTTGTGGTGCACGGGCTTCAGTAGTTGTGGCACGCGGGCTCTAGAGTGCAGGCGCAGTAGTTATGGTGCATGGGCTTAGTTGCTCCGCGGCATGTGGGATCTTCCGGAATCAGGGCTTGAACCCGTGTCCCCTGCATTGGCAGGCGGATTCTTAACCACTACGCCATCAGGGAAGCCCATATATATAATGTTTTTATAGATCATTTCAAGTGACTTCAGATAGGCAAAACTATACTTTATTATGTTGTATTTATTAACTTTTCTGTTTCACTTAATTTATGAACCTACAGATAGATAATGACCATCTATAAATTCAGTTTAGGTAGTCAAAAAACTAAATATTATTATATTTCACTGAATCTATAACACCATTGAAGGCAAGAGGTACCATTATTTTATGTACTAAGAAAGAAAAAAATGCTACCCATTAAACTATGACATGTCATTAGCTGCAAAAGATAAACAATTTCAAAAATATTAAAATGTGAAAAAATTTACTTTAGGCCATAGAATCCTCTATGAATATTACAAACATTTAAAAGAAACCAACAAGATCTGTAAATACTGCACTTTCATAGTTCTACAATACAGTTTTTCACTTATTAACGTTTAAAAAATCGGCAGTATCTTACAACTGATACCAAAAGAAAGAGTAGCAAGCCAAGCTTTAGTTATTCCATGTGTGAATTCACACAGATCCGTTTGTTAGATCTTTTCCTAAGGTAACTGTGTACAATGAGGTAGTATTGAAACATCAAGCTATTGTGTGTATAGAATCTACCCCTAAAACCAGGCAATACAATTGAAAACCCAAGGCAATGGGTTTCTGCATTAAGAAAGACTTCCCTCAGATGCCAAACATCTAATTTTCAAAAACTTTCAGCTGACTTTCCAGTCATTCTCTTTAATTTCTAGTTATACAAAATTCAATGAACTGAATTAATAAAAAGCAGAAAAAAATCTAAATTTAAACAAATAGGAAATTAAGAGCAATCTAGTTTTCCTCAATAGGTATTCCAGATTATTGCTTATCCTAATGGCACCAAAGCAACTGAAATTAGGAGCATGGGTTATGAGAAAGTGTCATGTAATGCTATGCATAACTGCCAATGACCAAACAGATTCAAACAAATTTGACTTTGAACACAAAGATTTAGACTCAAATTTTGCCAAACCAGAGACGAAAGTAGTAAAGAATTTTATAGTTCAATGAAAACTCCATTTTGAATACACTTAATTAAACTTTTTCACTCCAGTGATCTAACAAATAATGATACAGGGAATCATTACTGAATGAAAACTGACAGTTCCAGAACTTCCTTGGGACAGCACAGAGCAATGCTGGAATTTGAGTGTGTGAACCTATGTTTCTTACCCTGGATCTTCCTCCAAGTTACTCTTCTGGATTGTTTTGTCCTCTGTTTGTTGTAAACCAGATTCGAAAGGTTTTGCTGTCATGATGACACTTGAACGGTTGGAGCCTGGAATGGGTAGCAGAGCTGGGAATGGGACAGAGCAGCCCCGTGTGTCATTGGCAACCCTGACAGTATCAAATACCCGTTTTTGTTGGGCTCTGTCAAAAGAGAAATGTTCATTATTGCCACTGCCTACCACTGGAATGCTTTAGAAAAGAGACATGTAAGTGTAGTTAATTAAAAATAAAGCCACCCTGAAGAGCATCTGAAGTTTTGGAGAAATTATTAGAAAATAAAATTTAGAACAAGAGAATGCTCTCACAGATGCAAGCACTACGAGGAAAAAACCGAATAGTAAGCAGATTTACTACTGAATCCCATAATACCAATCACTATGGATTGTGGTTTCTGTTTAATTTCCATCCCAATGGTTGAGTAACAACACATGTGATCTGAACTTACTTTTGTTTAAAGAGAGAAGATTCCTCATCCAAACTCAACTTCTTACGCATGGTCCCCTCAATCTCAGCCGCCAGAGATTCCTAAGAAAAAGAGTTTGATGTTACTAACAGTTATTATCTAAGAAGCCTGTTAGAAGAAATAAACTATCTTTAAATTATTTAACGGAGTTTCCAGAATCCAATACTTTCGGTGTTATAATAAAAGAAAACAGTCACAGGCTAAAATGCAGGGGAAGAAAAGAGACATTCTGGAAATGTAACTTTTAAACAAGAACCAACTTTTTCATGATATATTTTTACAAGAAAGCAGTGGGAAAAACCAATTATGATAAATAAAAGTATTACATATGCAGACACACAAAAATAAAAGGTTTGAAAGGCTATAAACCAAGATGTTGATAGTGATTCTGTGGAGGTCAGGATTTGACGGTATTTAGCAATTTCTTTTTGCTTCTCTGTAACTTCTAACTTTTCTATAATAAACATGTAAAGCTTTTATAATATAAAAAATTGTTAAAAGAAAAATAAGTAAGCTTCCCCTTCCCCTGGTCAGGGATGAAGATTCAACTAGCATGGGTGTCATGCTCAGTGGGGCTGTGCTAACAATGACTACAATTAGAGGTACTGGTGTGAACTCATGATTTTAAATATACATATAAACATAGGTATGAATGTAAAGATAGATACAGATGTGTTTATGTGGGTGTATATGAACCTACACATATTTCCTAGCTCTATCTGTTGAGGGGACCTCAAAGCAATGGTACTCTAGTGGCATTGGATACCTAGCACCCAGATTTTGGATTCTAAATATCATTTCTCATTAAAAATAACCAGAGCTCCTTGGAGAATGGCTGATCCCAGGGCTGGGCCAGGGAAAGGGCAAGAGGAGCTTGAAGGAGATCCCACTGGTCATATCTTGGACAATTTAAGTATCAAAATAAAAAACAGTAATAATGGATTATAATCCACTGATTAAAATAGGAATCCCTGAGTCTATACTGACATAACCCAATGAACAAATGAATAAATAAATGACACAGAAAAGCTCTAACTTATAAAAGAATGCCAATTAAAAAAAGTTGAAAAAATGATGGAATTAAAAAGTCACTACTGGCAATTATCATAGTAATAACTGAGTCAGATACATCTCCATCAATGGGTGCTAAAACTAGTGGGCAAAGGCTTTATGAGGAACAGAATATTTAAACAGTCTCAAAGTATCACCCCCAAAATAGTAATTTTGATCATTTGGTTAAGGTAGTATCTGACAATTTTCATCAATGCAAAGTTAATTTAGTAACATTAATTCAATTAACTATTAACAATGATTAATTTTACAATGGAAAAAACTGGCAGATACTACCTTAACCAAGTGATCAAAGATAATTAACATCATCAGCAATGGGAAAAAGAGACAATGTGTGCCTTCTAATACAACGTTCTGAGAAGAACATGGCATTATTTCTGCTGAAAATGCATTACCTAAATCTAATTGTGGGGAAACAACAGACAAACCCAAACTGAGGACATTCTACAAAGGTCATGAAGGACAAAACAAAGACAGAAGAACTGTCCCCGATTGAAACAATGAAATGCAATGTATCCTTCAAAGGACACTGCTGGGACAATTGGCAAAATTGTGATAGTATTGTATCAATGTCAATATCCAGAAGTTGATGGCTATATGTTGTCATGTAGGAGAATGTCCTTGAGAGTATCCTTGTTTTTAATAAATACACACAGAATTATTAAGGGGTAGTAGGGTTATCTGCAACTTACTGTTAAATGGTCCAGAAAAAGTAAGAGAACAATATGACAAATGTAGTAAAATATTAAATTTGAGAAATCTAGATGAAGGATATATGAGTTTTTTGTACTACTGTTGGAATGTTATCCTAAGTTTAAAATTACCTTAAAATTAAAAATTAAAAAATATTCTGCCCCAATATTCTCTAGAAAATCTATTATAATTTATAGTTTCAGTCTTTTAAAAAATTTCACAGGATTGCATGTAAGTGTTTAAGAACTAGATTATTAAAATAACTCTTTGAACCAACATTACAAATTTGGGCATAAGCTCAGAAGTTTTCATTAATTTCTTTATTTCAAAAAAAAAAGATTGTTTATTGAGGAATCAAATCAATATGATTCCTGCTCTCATGGGGCTTACACTCTAACTGAAGTTAAATATAGCAAGAAACTCAAGATCTGTTAAAAGAGGTTTTAAATGTTCAGAGCACTATTTGAATAAGTGGTATGTGGTGGGATTAGGGTAAGGAGGATGACTGTGTCTATGGGACACAGACCTAAACTTAATTTCCTTAGGGTTCATCTCATACAAGAAATCTGGAAGGTCAACTGTTAGAAGGAAGGCTACAATAAATAAAGACTATTAAGGTAGATACAGCTATGCAAAAGAAGGCCTAAATCAATAGTTAAATTCAATCAACAAGGACAAACCATGTTACCTCTTCTCAAGATGCTTTACACCATTAGAAACCATATTACTCTCAGGACCATCTAATCTCAAGTTTCTTTCTCAGTTCCTTACCCCAGAAAAAACCCCGTATGGCTGGGAGAAGTAGAGATGAGCAGCAGGGCCAGATCTATTCCGAAGTTCCTTTATTTCTTCTTGGGATTCATGTAACATTCCCAGACACTCCATATTCCTGTCTTGTAACTCATGCAGCTGAAAGATAGGATGGCAATTAGTGTTCCTTATTATATTCTCAAAATGACAATGGGGAAAAACATCCCCTTGGGATAAGTTTAAATTTTATCCAGAGGACTAATTTTATGAATTTAAATTTAATAACAAAGACTCTGAAACAGACTAAGCAAGGAAAGTATATATATTTCAAGCTGCCAGATTTAGGGGTGTCTTGGCCAGAATTATATATATGCATGATTTCCTAAAAACGTGAAATGTAGCTGAGACAACCATAACTGTCAATTCAATATTTAATGCTTCCTATCCTTAAAAAAAAAACTTATAGAGGAAGTATAATAGCTACGGTCAAGTTAGTTTAGTGGAATATTAGATACGTATATTTTTAAACATAATGAACATGAATGAACTCTGAAGTCTGTAAATGACAAGATCAAGTCTACAAAGTATTTAATAAGATGTCAGGGTGCTCAATCATCCTAAACAAGTAGTTTCTTCTCCCTTGTTTCAAAATTTTTTTTATAGTTAGATACACAAGCATGTTAAAAGAGTACATAACTTTCAGAGAACATTTTAACTTCAAAAATTTCTTCAAGTGTGTTATGTGGACTAGATCATCAGCACCACTAGGGCTAGCGGTGCTTATTAAAAAATGCAGATTATCTTATTTTAAAAACTGTTGGGTTAGTTAATATAGACCTGTAAAAGGGTCATATATTCCTAAAGAATCTTATAAACTCAAGGTTTTCCTATTAATCAAGAAGGATGTTGTCTTGTTAATATTATTTTAGAGACAGAATCTTTAAAAAGCTTTACTTCTTAGATCTCATAATTTTCAGCTTAATCTTCTGTTGTTGTTTTAAATCTGGTTATCACCTTTAGCCATTCTTATTCACAAAGAAGAAAGGAACTATTCATTCCTCCCCTCCCATATAACACAAGATAAAGGAAGATTTCATTACCTCCATCGTCAGTTGTCTTTGGGCATCTTTGGAAGCTTGGAGGTGAAGTCTCAGCTCTTCCTTCTCAATCACATGCTGACAACATATTAAAAGAGACATGTGAAACCTTCCCATATAAAATACAGGTTACTCTCTTTTTAAGAAATCTTAAGAACGTATTTCAGGGATATAGTCCAGAGGATTATCAAAAGCTAACCTTTCAAAAGCCAAATAAGTGCAATAAAATGGGCAGAATACAAAATCCATCAAGGTGTTCAGAGGACGATGAGCATGAATCAGTAGTTCACATCACAACTTTCTGAGGAAAATCCATTTTACGGAAAGAAATAGTGATTTGAAAGTAGTTATTCATGATATTTCATGACAGAAGACTAAAACAGCAATCAGACTAAAGCAATGTAAAAGGGTGGGGACCATGTTTATTTTGCTTAATGTATCTAGCACTTAGCAGAGTGCATAGTACTGGTCAGTGCTTAACAAACATCTGTTGAATGAATGAACCTACTTCTTTAAGTTTGTGCTGAAGATCTACAATCTGAGACAAGAGAGAGGAAATCTCTTCTTGGTAACGAATCAGTTCATCACTCTTCCCAGACAATTCTTCAGTCATTCTGGACATCTGAGCATTTGTTTCACCTGGAAAACAAAATAAAAAACTTAAAATTAATATAAATGTAGGACAGAGGTTGGTAAACTATGGCCTGTGGGCCAAATCCTGTTTTGTAACAAGCACTGGACTATCACGAATTGATTTTTCTCTAACATAAATTTAAAATAATAAACCCGGATAACTCAATAGAGAAAATTAAAGATTCTTCTGAAATAGACTAATGCTGGGAATTTAATAGGAGGCACTGAAGCTAAAAAGAGATAATTTGTAAAGGCAAGCAAGCTAAAGATTCTGCCTCAATCTTTTTCTTTATGAAGGACAAGAAGGCTGAAAAGAGATAGGTGAATTATGTATCTTTGCAAGGGCCAAGACATTTATGTCTTTGAAAACTCTTCAGGAATGTAAATAAGATCCCCAAAGAAATGAAAATCAAACTTAACAAATCTAACAAATGAATATTTCCAGAATGGAACAGTCACAATCTGTAAAAGCTACTGAGATGCTTCTGTAGGAGAGACTTTCTGGGATACCCAGCAAACTGAGTAGGGCCTCTAAAGCAATTCTTACAATGCAGCATTCTTGCATGCTTTAGAATTCCACTGGGGAAATAAATCTTTGTTTCATATAAAAATTTTGACATCTAAACCCCAGTGGCAAAGCTATTTCTAAGTGTTATATAAAACTATTTTTAAATCGACGGAAAGTCTATAGCAATTCAAAGGATGGCAGTAAGGAGACAGGAGAGCAGAATCTAAGCTCTTAGGTAAGTCCTTGCTTTTTGTTTTTAAAGTGTAAAAGGTGGGTAATGATAGTGTTGATGGAGAAGATTCAATTTGCATTCCTCTGGTTCTCTAATATTCTGTGCAAGGTACCACATTCTGAAGCCCTCAGCTCAAATGATCTGATATGTTGTTATCATACCTTCTCTTTCAACATAAAAGGCTATATATATCAATATTTATAAAGAGATTAAAAGTTTTTCTCTAGTAAAGCTGATCTTTTTCCAACTGATTTATTTTTTAAAATTTTAGGTAACAATACAAGAAAGTAAAATATATTCCTTTATAGACACAGAGCTGGCATTTATCAAATACTCGTTGAGTGTTACGTTTTACACTATCATTTAAGCCCTAGATTTGCTACTAATCAGTTTTCTGACTTTGGCAAATCATATTCTCTATAGGACTATTTCCTCACCAACAAAATAAGAGCTTTGGTTACTTTCATTTTAACATGCTATATAATGGGTAGAAATTTAGGTCTTTATTTAATGATGATGACAATTTGAAACAAAGATATTTCTTAAAAGTACATATGGTACTTTATTTAGAGTTGTGGGCTCAATGTCATATTCCAAGATTTTCAGCAATTATTTAAAATTGTTTCTTGAGATGCTTCTATTGAAACCATTGACCTAATTTCTGAGTTAGTGATATGCTACCAAAGAACTGCCCAAAGGCTATAAAACAGAATACATTAACAACACTTACGAAGTTCTTTAACACAATCACTGACAAGCTGTTGTTCCTTCTCTTCATAGGTAATCGTTTCTGTCTTTATGTGACAAGCCTTCAAGAAAAAAAAAAAATTAGTATGTGATAATATCTTCTAATGATTTTATAGTATTAACTAAAAAAATCTTTACTACTTATTTAAAGATAAAAGTTCATCACTTACAAAGGAAAACAAAAACTCATAAAGCTTTATCTATCATAAAATAAAGACCATGGAAAAGGACATGACAAACATCTCCCCCTTATTCCTCTCAGGGCCTTTGCACATGTCTACTCATCCCCACCCCGACCCCTCCCCTCCACTACATATATCTCTGATAGGCTAACCCTTAGCCTCAGCTAAAATGTCACATGTTTAAGTAGGACTTCTTTGATCCATTCCCCAACCCCCCATTATATAAGCTCATGAAACACTGTAGTTTTCCAATATAGTTCTTAACTTAGTTGTAATTATTTAGTTATTTGTGTAAACTCCACAAGCTATATATTCTATGCTGTGCCTTTCTCTTCCACCTGTCAGCTTGCTATTATCCACTTTTCAATGGGATCTAAGTAACAATGGAGGGCAAGCACCTGTGCCTTGGCTGTCACCCCCTCAATACTACCTGGACCTAAACCTTATAGCCTTTAAGGTAAAGGAGAGTGAGAATTAAGTTGACTGTACCTTGGATCGAAGAACCATATTCTCTTCTTCCAGTTCCTTGAGCTTTTCTTGCAGCATGTCCAACTGCAGCAAACCTTGAGATAAGCTAAAGGACTCATTGAAACGAAGAGGTGTAGAGCAGCTGGAATCAGTTTCACTCTCTTCAGAAGCAATGGAGACAACTCGAAGTAACTCATCTTTCTTGGACAGCTCATGCTGCAGTTGATTAACCTGTACATCAAAAGGGTTTGATTTACAAGATGGTCTTTATTTTGCATTATTTACAAGTAATATAGCTTCTAATTCACGGAGCAATTGTTTCTCACCATACAACAAAGTCATAAAATCAGCTGTTAGGTTTTACTGACTAAAGTAACAAGGGCTACAAAGAGAGTAACAAATCTCAGATACTTCCTAAGCTATAATTTTAGAGCATTAACTCAACAAATACAGCCTTTTCTATACTAGGTGAAAAGAAAAGCCAATTTCCATATTCTATATAACGGGAATATAGGAGGAAATTTTCACATAAGATGATACATTCACAGTTCAAAACAAAACAAAATGGAAGAAACTTCAAAGTATCAGAATAGAACCTTACTTCAAATTCTCATCCTAAAGGTTTGTATTTTTTAAGCTGCATAACTATACATGACTTCCCAACTCTAGTTCTAGGGAATAAGTACTTTTAACACAAAGGCTTGAATGTTATTAAACATGATGATTTATAAAATATAAATGAAACCAGACAATAACAAATTATAGAAGATTTAAAATGTAACCGTTCAAATTAATAATAAATCAGTTCTCACTAAAAATATCTATTGCTATGGGATAAATATATTTTCAAAAATTTCTTTTCCTTTTCTTTTCTCCTTTTGTTTGGGTTTCTGAATAAAGATACTTCCTTTGGGTATCTTATTTGGGGGTACATTTTTAAAAAATAAATTTAAGATAAGATCACACAAAAAGTCTATGGAAAGGAGTAAGGATAAAGTGTTAGAATCTAAGCAGGATGCTACAAGTACTGTAGGTACTGAATACAAGCTTTTATGTTGACTAAGGTAGAGTCACATGAGTACTCCTCTGTACAATAACACTTCATTTCTCTACTGGTTAGTTTAATGGATACTATTGTCATCACTTCAGGGACACCCAGGAAAATAAATTCTCCATTTCCCAAGACCTAATTGCTTCATGCTGCAAATACTTGATCCAAGACTTACTTGATCAAAGGCTTGTCCCAATTGCTCCTCGAGGGCTTCATTGTGCTCAGACAAGGCATGGTTCCGCTTTAAGAGAGCTTGTCCAATTCGAGCAGCTAGCTCCAGATCACGATCCCTCTGTTAAAATACCAAACACATCTTTTGAGTACAAACAAAATTAAGTGGTAGTTTAAAATTCTGCAGTCATTTGTGCTAAACTCAAAAGCAATGTCCTAGAAAGCATCAAGATCCATTTTAATGCCCAGATATTACAAATGAATACAGGGCCTGACACACAAATGGTATACATTAGTCAAATGGATGACCACCATAGTTATAAATGCAAGAGGGCATTTCTTGATATCAAGTGAGGTTTATTGATCACCCCATTAATTAGGATAGAGCAACTCAACCTTTCAACTTATGACTTTAGGGACTTACAAAATCAATATAGTCTTTAAAAATGGGGACAGGGCCTGACACACAGTAAAAGCCAAATAAATATTTGTTGAATGCATTTGTCTGTTAAGCATGGTAATGATACAGTAGGCATGTTGAATACAGTTCCAATTAGGGTAAAGCTTATATGCATTCAGAGCCAGAGACTTAGAGGAAAGCATAATCAAGAGCCCTATTGTCAACTGGTATAAGAATCATGATGTGAAATAAAATAGGGGATATAATAGACTGGACATTTTGAGGCTATAGGGCTCTTCTTAGAGTGTAGAAAAGAAGGGAGTCTGAAGAAATTGGTGGTAATGGTGCAGGGAAGCCTACAGAAAAGTCAAGCAAGGCAAGAGTTACTCTTTCTGGGTAGATGGTGATACTTAGCAAGGCATAGGAATCCTCGACATGGTGGTGGTGAGGATTGTATTCTGTAAGGTGGAAAACTATCAATATACATCTGAGTGCCTTATAGTATATGAGAATGGGTTCCACTTACATTAATCACTGTAAATAAAATTATGCTTCTATTTTTTTGGTCCACGGCAACATGAAAACAGGTGGATGGATTATCTCCAAATTTTCAAGGCCCACTTACCTCATTTTCAACATAGGCTAAATAGCATACACAAAATCATCCTGGGGAGCTGCTGGGGTTTAGGGAGGCATATGGGGAGAAGGGTACTTCAAAGAGAAAGATTGAAATTTCCATCAGATCAACCGAAATTGAAGCATAGGGAGCGACCTCTTAAGACTGCCACTTAGAAGAGATATACTATACATACTAAACATGTCATGGACAAAGTGAGCTCAAATAATAGCCTGAATAAAAGTAGAAAAGGGAAGATGCTGCAAACTATTGGTGTTGATTTGCAATGGAGCTGCTTCTTGAATGGGCAGCTCTGTTTTCAGGGTGACACCAAGGATTTACTTAAAAAAATTTTTTTTTAAAAGATTGCTTTTCTAGGACAGAGAAGCCAGCCAGCACCATTATTAACACAACAACAAAAAATTAAGCCCTCTACAATTTCATAACAATAAACTTCAGGAGCCATCTTCTTTGGAATGCCAGTTGGTATGCCAGTTGTTCTATCTGTAACAACCTTATACAGAACAACCTAGAGCAAAGACATCATCATTTTTCATTGATATGCAAATTTGATAGATTCTAAATGATCTTCAAGTTTTAGCTTTTTGTACTGGAGAAAAAAAAGACATATTCCTACCTCTGCCAGGAGATGTGTAACCATGTCGATGTCATTGTAAGTTTTGGTCATCTGCTCCACCCTGTCTGTGCCTAGAACTAAGATAGTTAAAAACAACAGTTTATAGGATATAGAAATAACACAAAGTTTTAAACAGTCATAAGAATTGAAAGAAAACAACACAACAAACAACACGGGCTTTTACAAAAAGTCATTCAGAATAAAAAAATAGGTGAAAAAAGAAAAGGGAAACAAATATTTCATGTGTTAGACACTCAGGAAATAGACAAATTACTACAAACAAAATGTACATCATACAATAAATTAAGAAAGTATCAAATGATCACAAGGCAGCTACCTCCTGACTGTCTCCTCTTCCCTTGGTAAGACTGGAACTTTGGGGACTTCCCTGGTAATGCAGTGGTTAAGAATCCACCTGCCAATGCAGTGGACATGGGTTCGAGCTCTGGTCCAGGAAGATCCCACATGCCGCAGAGCAACTAAGCCCGTGAGCCACAACTACTAAAGCCCGTGTGCCTAGAGCCCATGCTCTGCAACAAGAGAAGCCACTGCAGTGAGAAGCCTGTGTACCACAATGAAGAGTAGCCCCCGCTCGCCACAACTAGAGGAAGCCTGTGCGCAGCATCGAAGAACCAATGCAGCCAAAAATAAATAAATAAATAAATAAATAAATAAATAATTTTAAAAAAAGATTGGAACTTTGGTTCACTCACACTAGAGAATGTGGGACTGGAGAATGAACTGAACCACCAATTGTTTTACATCCTAATCTAAATTAAAGTTATTGAGGGGCGAGTTCACGAGGAGTTATGTATGAAGGAATTTAATTAGAATTCTGTTGTGATTATCTTGAACATCTATGATCACCTGTCATGTGAGCTAATATCAATAAACAATGAATAGGACTTGTAGCACTTCTTGTAATTCTATTATGAACCGTAACACTTTTTAGCTTAATTAAAAATCCTTTTTCTTTATGATAAGCTTCATCATATTTAGGCCTTTGCTATAAACTAAACTGTATACTACAGTATTCCTTGCATAACTCAAACCCATTATTTCTGGCACTCCGTAAATTCAGGAACTGCACTTGACTAATTTAGCTCCAAAGCAAAGAATAGATATGATCCTAATGATTCCACAATCACAATAAGCAATACCATTTTAAGGTAATGATGCAGGGATCTTTTGACTTTGGAGTGCATTACATGAAACAGACTTGTGTTTGACTTAGACTGCTTTTAAAATTAGTTTGCCTTGAAGTGTGAAAAATCAGAGGTTTGAAGCAGAAAAGCTGAATTCACATATTTGAGTGAGCTTGAACAAGTCACTTACCCCTTCTGAGATTCAGATTCCACATTTATAATATGAAGCTGATAACCTCTCACAAGGTCATTAGGAGGTTCAAATATGATAATCTACTAAGCAGTATTTAGTAAACTGCTAAGTCATGTAACTATTTACAGCTATACTCTTTAAACACAACTGGTATGTATGAAACAGCCCTGATTTAAAATTCTCTGTAAATAATGCACTGAGTTGGCAGCAGAAACTATGATTTAAGTCATCTATACTTCTTTAGTCCCATCTTAACACTTACGGTTGCTCAAAAGACACCATTAGATAGGTTTTACTTTAATCTGAGCTTTTAATTTTTCTTCTTAGCACCACTGCTTAAAATGAAACTGGGAATTGGGACTTGCCTGGTGGCGCAGTGGTTAAGAATCTGTCTTCCAATGTAGGGGACACAGGTTTGATCACTGGTCAGGGAACTAGATCCCATGTGCATGCACAACTAAGGAGCCTGCTGGCCACAACTAAGGAGCACATTTGACATAACTAAGGAGCCCATGAGCCGCAACTAAGGAGCCTGCCTGCTGCAACTAAGACCTGGCGCAACCAAAAAAAATAAATTAATTAAAAATAAATAAATATAAAAAAATAAAAATTAAAAAATATGAAACTGGGAATTACCCAGAGCTTAATTATTAATGATAGTCTTACTTCTAGTTAAAAGTAAAACAAAGTGCTGGGTTGATAGTGTTAGGAGATAGCAGAAAAAGTTTTAAATTGAAAATAAGAAAACTAAAAACAACAACAACAAAAACAAAAACACTATAAAGAAACATTTTTACTCCAAAAGAATTTTTATTTACAAGTAGAGAATTTTTACTTATTAGTATAAATTAAACTATAATTTAACCTCAGGGATAAGGGAAATAGGCTTTTGGACCAGGAATCTTCAGTTTAACTTGGTAGCATAGCAGAGACAAAGGATTAAAAATTAAGGCAGATACTAACAGTGTGTGGTCTCTTCTACTGCTTGTCTCAATAATACACGGAAAAAAAATCAAGTCAATATATCTACACTCTAAACTACAGAAAACTAGCCAATGGTTGCAAAAACAAATGTAATGCAGGGCAGTGGGTCTCAACTCCAGATTCTAATTTAATTCATTTGGAGGAAGTCCAGGGCACAGGTAGTATGTAAAATATGCCAGATGTTCTGACGTGAAGCTAGGGATGAAAACTACTGATCCAGGGTTAACACTCAAAGCAAGAACCAGCAATCCTGGAGACCCAGTTAAAAACAGTTTTTATACAACTAATTTATGGCTTAAATTAATAATGGCTTATATTATACGACTGATAAAAGTTGAAGATGAGTGGCAAATTTAATCTGAAGTCAAACCAGTAAATTAATGATGGAATAAAACGCTGTGAGGTACCAGTCACACATGACGAAAGGGGAATAGAAAATGAAGGACACAGTAATACAGAAATGTTTAGAATAAAATATGTTTTAGTAAGGAGAAACTAAAATATATTTCCCATAAATGCTTACCATCTGTCAGTCTGACAATTTAAAGCTGAATCTTAAGAAGTTACCTAGTTTAATGATCCCATTTTCTTATATGAGGAACCTTGACTAAGAGGAATTATGTGACATGTCCAAGACAGCAAAGCAAACTATTAGTGGCAAAGCCAATATAATAATGAGGTGATAACAACTCCCGTCTCACAAGGTCATAAGAAAAAACTTGGGTCTGCTCATTCTCAGTGACGGGAATGGGCTCTTTGCACCAGGTTGCTGTTTCTACCACAGTCCCACCAAGATCAAAAGGCTTTTATCTGATGAAATATTAGAGTATTTATCTGTGAACACAAGTTATAAAACAAAATAGGTACCATTTTTTTTTTTTTGCGGTACGCGGGCCTCTCACTGTTGTGGCTTCTCCCTTTGCGGAGCACAGGCTCCGGACGCGCAGGCTCAGCGGCCATGGCTCACCGGCCTAGCTGCTCCGTGGCATGTGGGATCTTCCCGGACCGGGGCACGAACCCGTGTCCCTTGCATTGGCAGGTGGACTCTCAACCACTGCGCCACCAGGGAAGCCCCATTTTTGTTTTTAATGTGTGAGTATATCTATACATGTCTATACACAAGAGAGGCTGGAAGGCTGTAAATCAAAATGTTAACAGTGGTTATCTCTAAGTAGGGGTTATGGTTGATCTGTTGTTTTCTGTTCAGTTTTTTGCTAATTTTCCATGAAGAACAAATGTTATCATTGCAATCAAAAAGTAGCAGCTCTTGTTAAGAGGTTTCAGAGAGGAAAAATGAATTTTCAAATGCTTAAATATTTATTACGGCAAAGAAGTTAGATAATGCAACCAGAATTCTCCAATTCTTATGTTTTAAGTGAAACAGTCTATAGACCACCAAGCCCCAAAGGCTGGACCACCTCAACTGCACCGAGTTGCTCAATTCATAGAGGAACACAAAGCATAGAGGAACACAAAGGATTCCTCTCTGCAGCCTAATCAGTTCTGTCTTCTCTTCTTTAACACAATACTCCTGATAAAGATAGGCTGCTTGGGATGATTCCAAAAGTACTCAGGGCAAAGCTCTTAAGTATTCTCTTGGCATTTAAGTATTGTGATTAAATGCTTCCAAAGCGGTAGACTAATTCTTCACTGTAATTCTGTAACCAAGAATTCAGGGCCAAGCAGGCTGACTTTATTATAATTCTATCAAATACTATTTTTCCTTCAGTTCTCAAAGGTTAAAATAAAATATGTTAAATGGTACAGAAATTACCAATGCTCCTTGCTTGTTTCCAGACATGAACTTTCTAACTCTCTAAGAACAAATCATATATCAGGGAGAAAATAAACATTTGTACAGAACATTTTTGGTTTCTGAAGGTTGTTAGTTAATGTTCAACATTTTTGGTTAATATTTGGAGAATCTAATATTCCTGAAAAAACATGGGGAGATATATATAAGCACTTCGCTAATTCTTACTCTATGTTATATCTGCGTAATTTCACATCAACCATCCCCCAATCATTTTCAGGATGGAAAATGCCAACGTTAATCCATTTTGATATCCCTGTTATTTATATGAGATGGTTCTTGAATAGTTCTCATATGTCCTTTTTCAAGGTCTAGAGTTTTTACCACAATTATCTAATTTTTAAAAGACTTCTAATCTTTCATCACTCTCCAAACCTCCCACACCAAAAAGCAAAAGCAAAACAACAAAAAACAAAAATGAAACACACAGTTCACATGGCAGAGTAAAAGCTAGAATAGCTCCTAATAACTACAGACAGGTCTTGAGGTTTTAACCCCAAAGAAGTGGCTCTTGCTACTATAATACAGAGAACATTTCTGCAATACAAAAAACTGCCTTCAAAAGAACTGAGGCAGAACAAAAATGAGGCTGGTGATATATACGGTCTAGGACAGCCTTTCTCAACAGGGTTCCAGGGGAGAATTAAGCCCCATAGATAATGCTTTGAGTGACAATGTTCTCAATTCTCTGACAAATAATACCTACCTAGTACATAATGTAGAGGTGATAAGGTAATTCATTCTACAATAGATGTCTTAGGGCATATGGTTTAATTCTTCCATGGAACTGGTTGCGAGGAATTATAAATCTGCTAACCTCTACAACTTGACTTATGGTTAATGCTTCCTGAACATTATCTGTTGTATTTCCTTTCTTGCCAGTACAGGTTAATGATTTTCAAGGACAGAGTTGAGGAAAAGTATAACTATCAACCAGAAGTAATTTCTACAATCTATTTCTCTGCAAAATCCTACACCCTCCCTAATTCCTTAAATTCTCCAATTAATGTCACTGTGAAATGGCCATATGGCTTTGGTGACAAAGCTTTAGGTCAGTGGTTCTCAAATCTGAGTGTGCACCAGTACCATCAGGAGGAATTGTTAAAACAGATGGGCCCCACCCCCAGAGTTTCTGAATCAGTAGATCTGGGATGGTAGCACAAGGATCTGTGTTTTTAGCAAGTACCAAGTGATATTATATGTAATTAATGTGTAATAATTACATATCATTAATTACATATAATATCACTTGGTACTTGTAATTAATGATGCCTTAATTACAACTTATATAACCACCCCCCTTTTGCTTATGCATTAGGAAGTGGTACAGGTAATCCCTTACTCCCAAATAAAAAATACCCTGAAGGTATTTTTTAATAGATAATAATAATAATCTATTTTAAATAGATCAGGTTTCTATTTTTAGCCTTCACACGAACAAATAAATGGTACTTTCTGTCACAGTGTGATCTGATCACACTGCTTGCCCCATGTCACTGTGCAGCTCTCTCTTAATAAAACTAAGAAAACCCTGCACGCAAAACATTCTTTGAGTATCTTAAACTTTGTGTAAGGCAGGGACTAGGAGAGAATTACTTTTTAGACCAACCCATTGTTTACTTTTAAAATAAAACACTTGAGAGCAATCTCTTTCTGGTTTGGTAGGGGCTTCAAAGAACAACCAGTGTCCTTTTATTCATGTGAGATAGGTTCCCATCCCAAAACCCTGCCCATGTTTCCTTCCAAATTTCTTTATTTTCTTCTCATGGCTCTTTCAATTTCTTTGTGTTATATGAGAGAGAAAGTACCTCTGCCTGTGCCACCTCTTTTTATTAGCTGTTATAATTCATTTTAATGAGCATTGAGTATCTACTGGCATGTGAGGTAAGTCAGGATAAGAAGGGGCTGAAACTGCACCAGGGAGCTGAACCCTAGGATGGCTTGCCAGGGTCTATAGTAACTATTCTAAACCATTAATCTTGACATCTCAAGGGGATAGAAAACTGTGGAAAAGGGTAAGGGAATGGTTTGTATCATGCTTTTTAAAGTTCTTTTTTTAAAAAAAAATTTTTATTTATTTTTGGCTGCGTTGGATCTTCATTGCTGTGTACAGGCTTTCTCTAGTTGTGGTGAGCGGGGGCTACTCCTCGTTGCGGTGTGCAGGCTCCTCATTGAGGTGGCTTCTCTTGTTGCAGAGCACGGGCTCTAGGTGCCTGGGCTTCAGTAGTTGCAGCACGAGGGCTCAGTAGTTGTGGTGCACGGGCTTAGTTGCTCCGTGGCATGTGGGATCTTCCTGGACCAGGGATCGAACCCTTGTCCCCGGCATTGGCAGGAGGAGTCTTAACCACTGTGCCACCAGAGAAGTCCTCGTGATTTTAAAATCTTGGTCAATTTGCTAAACAAAGTAAATCACTTATCTTTTACATTCATAAGATAGAAATTCATAATGAAGTTTATTTATATTTGAGTGAACTGTTAACCCAAAGAATTCATACCTTTAATATAACAGTGAAATTAAAGTACAGTACAGAGATAAAGTATCAGTGAATGGATGATGATCCTAGATTCTTTGCTTCATGATATTAGGTGTATCATATGTAGTTTAATTTTCAAATTGTTGAAGTGAAAATAGTACCATTAGATGAAAAGAATAGGACACTTTTCCAGATCTTGGAAGTATGGATCTTATAACATCCTATTAATCTCAAGTTTTAAATTGCTCCCTTGAACACTATGGTTTGTTTATGTAAAGTCCTATAAACCAAGTATTTTAGAATCTGTTTACCTTTTATTTCCCAGTCTTTTTACTTAAAATTCACCCTAAAAGTAACTCCATTAAATCATGATCTAAGACATCTTTCTAGCTAGTCTCCCTCACTGTCCCCTCCAGCAGCATATAGGACAAAGAACATGTAAACTAAGGGGTACTTTCTATGCCGCTTTATCAGAATAATGACAAACTAAATTTATCCCGATGAAATTTCAGTTTGGAATTTTCTCACAAATCTAAAAACTCAGGGAACAAAGGGAAATGGAAATAAAAAAGTGTTCCTTTTAAAAAGCATTTTCTAGAAAATCTCAAGCAAGTAACTTCTCAAACTATGAAGTTAAGAAAACCTTAAGGGCCTTAATTTAATATTCAGCTAATTAAAAGAATTGTTGGGGACAGAAATACAGTTCTATTTGCGGTCCTAATTCAAGTTTAAACAATGTTTACAATTCTTTTTCTGAGCAGTAAGTAATCTGGTTATAGGAAAGTACCATTAAAAGTTAATGATTACTGGGGTTTCCCTGGTGGCGCAGTGGTTGAGAGTCCGCCTGCCAATGCAGGGGACACGGGTTCATGCCCCGGTCCAGGAAGATACCACATGCCGCTGAGCCTGCGCGTCTGGAGCCTGTGCTCCGCAACGGGACAGGCCACAACAGTGAGAGGCCCGCATACTGCCAAAAAAAAAAAAAAAAAGTGTCCTATTTAATTTTGTCATTTTTAAAGAGTGTGGTGTAAAACAGACTTATTTTCAGGACAAATTTGGCTTACTTTCTCACTGAAATATTCTCTGAATCCTTAAGTAAATGATGAAGATTACTATATAGTGTGCACGTATTTCTCCTCGGCATTATTAAAGCTACTTATGTATCCATGAACTCCGTTTCTTAATGACTTGACAAGTTCCCGTGACTATGTCAGTTTAGTAGGGTAGATTAGAGTCAAAAAGCTGATGGCTCAAGATATTAAAGTATTAGGATAATAAATGCTGTGAAATATAAAGGGATATTAAATTTTAAATACTTTCACTACCTTTTTTTTTTTTTTTAAGTTCCCTTTTCTCCACAGTTGGAGGAAAGTATCAAGTAAAAGATGAGAGAAATGGAAACCTCTGAGTATGCTTGCAACCCTGGACACTCAGAGTCTTAAGAATGATAAACTTTCTGCATTCAGACATAACACAATTAGAATCATCTCTTCGTGTTGTTAAAATAGTTCAAGTTAAAGTAGGTACAAACTGAACAATGGCTAGGGATGTCAAATGTTTTAAAAGTCAACACCAAGATATTCATATCTTTAGTTCAATGGACAAACTCTAAAATACTCACTCATATAACGGAAAGTCTCTTCAGCAAGGACTGGAGAGAGGGCATCAGATCCATGTCGCTGCTGGCGTGGGGACTGAGTCCAGTCTTGATTTTCATATAGAAAGAGAGAGTCCACTCTTAGCTTATACTGGGGTAGCTGTTCTTCTAGCAGGCTCACCAGCTCGACTTCAGGGAGATCTTCATTGGAGCACACATCTAAAGAGGAGATTCCATGTAAATGAATCCAATATATTTCAATTTTCTAGGCTACAGAGAAAAATCGGTGAAATTAGTTTTGTCAAAGTAGGATAATCAAAGAAACATTAGCCAATACCATGTCTCCGATGATTTTTATTACTGTATCCTGGTACTACAGTTGGCCTTTCTCTAGGTTTCTTTAATATGAGAACTTCTATAGTAAAAATACTACCATGAATTTTAATTGTATCCTATCTAAAAATATATTGCTTAGGAATACACCTATGTTTTTAAAATTTCTTATTTCTTCCTTATCAATATATTTAGTGCTGCTTACAAGAGATCTGATCTCAAATAACTTATATGCTTTGGGGAAAAAAGGCAACACAAAACAACCAGAAGAAAAGGAGTTCAAAAGGAATAAAATTACATGTTCTTTAATAACAGAATTGAACTCTGTGGGAGGATTCTTCAAAATCTGGAAAAATTACATTTTACTACATTCTCACAGAAGCTAGATACAAAAAAAATGAACACTTACTGAAAATGTGATACATTTAAAGTCTTGAATACCTTTCACATCACTACTCGCTCATTTGCACACCTTTAACTCCCCCTGCTTATACTTCTCTGAACACGCTTGGGCTTCTCCTGGCTTCTTGTTCCAAATGCTGCCCATCATTTAACACCTCCCAAATTTAGCAGTTTACAAAAAAAAAAAAAAGTTATCTCTTTTAATATGCTTAAAATACTACAGCTTAAAATAGAGAAAATACAGGATGTCATATCAACCCTCTCATTTTTAAAAGAGATCTGGTATTTCCTTTGGGGGTGGCATAAAAAACATGTTCTAACTCTGGCAAAGAACAACAAAGTTAATTTTAAGAAAACATACCTTAAAAGAGTAAATTTCAACTACTTGATATTAACAATGAGGAGGCCGGCATTAATCAAATCAAGTACAAGGAGACTGACAATATCAGACAATCCTATTCACCCAGAAGGACAAGCAGTGGCTTCATAACCACAAAGATGAGGTATATAATCACAGAGATGAGGTACATTTAAAACCTTAAATATGGATCTAAAGAAGCTCCTCTCAACCCTTAGCAGATCTCTTAAATAAGAGCTCTGAAAATACATCCCAATAATATTACTATGAATTCTATGCGACTATTCAAATTTTTCCTGCCACAAATATTTCACATACAGATTGTCATTATAAATCTGCAGGAAGAGAAGTTGACTATAAATACATGCAGAGCTAAAAACAGACTCTTAGGCATTCAAGGGTATAATGAAAATGAAGAAAAAAGTAACATTCATTAAAAGAACTACTATTCCCTAGAAATTTTCTTTTAATAAGCAATAATAAAATTCTGTGAAAATTCAAGATTACCAATTCCCTACTTCAAAAAAATAATTTTAAAAGTGAGTACACAATCAAGGTTTAGTAAATTCAAATAACATCCTTAGGAGCAAATCCTATTTGCTTCCATATATATATATATATATATATATATATATATATATATCCTCCAGAGTTAAATAAAATCATAAGATCATAAGTATTCCTAGTAAAGGAGATAAATGAGTGCCAAGAAAAATGAATGAGTAGGAGTTTATTAATTAATTTATTTATTTTTGCTGTGTTGGGTCTTCGTTTCTGTGTGAGGGCTTTCTCTAGTTGTGGCAAGTGGGGGTCACTCTTCATCGTGGTGCACGGGCCTCTCACTATCGCGGCCTCTCTTGTTGCGGAGCACAGGCTCCAGACGCGCAGGCTCAGTAGTTGTGGCTCACAGGCCTAGTTGCTCCGCGCCATGTGGGATTCTCCCAGACCAGGGCTCGAACCCGTGTCCCCTGCATTAGCAGGCAGATTCTCAACCACTGCACCACCAGGGAAGCCCCCATATTTTTGATAATGTACTATTTATTGCTTTCCTGATTGTCCAGTCTTAATATTTTTATCCTCCAAATATCCCTTCCTTATGCTCACTTCTTTCTAGCCACATTGCCTCCATTTAGGTTCAAGGCCTCCTCTTGTTTCTCTTGAGTATGGCCTCAAAAGTGGTCTGTCCTCATTACACTCATATTTTCCTCTACATCTTCATATCTTTATTAAGTTACTCTCCTACACAAAGTGAAGAAAGGCCTGAATTTCTTCTAGCCAGAGTAGAAAAACCTCATGAACAGTTAGGACAATCAAAAGATCCTAGAAGTGTCATGCCTACTGGTAGTAGGGTTAAATTAATGCTAGAATAAAGCATACTAGAGTATGGTCTTGTGATATAGAGACTTAGATAGCAAAGATTAAAAACAAGCCTCAAAAGAACTGATATCGGGCTTCCCTGGTGGCACAGTGGTTGAGAGTCCGCCTGCCAATGCAGGGGACACGGGTTCGTGCCCCAGTTCGGGAGGATCCCACATGCCGCGGAGCGGCTGGGCCCATGAGTCATGGCCGCTGAGCCTGCGCATCTGGAGCCTGTGCTCTGCAACGGGAGAGGCCACAACAGTGAGAGGCCCATGTACCACAAAAAAAAAAAAAAAAAAAAACAAACTGATATTATCAGCAAGTAACTTGAGGACCTGCCAAAATAATAACAGTTTTTCAAATAAGACAAGAAAATTCAAACATCAAACAACATAACATTCAAAATATTCAGCATTTGATAAAAAATTACTAGATATTCAAAGAATAAGCAATTTGGAAAACAAATCAATAAGAATAAGCAGTTGGAAAATAAATCAATAGAAACAAGCTGAGTAAAGACAAAGATGATAAAATTAGTAAACAGCAATTTTGAAATAGCCATTATTAATATGCTCAAAGATTTAAAAGGAAAACATGAATTTGATGAAAAGAGAAACAAAGTATTCCTATATTTATAAAATTCAAATAGAACTAGAATACAATATCTAAATTTAAAAATTCACTGGATAACATTAACATATTAGATACTATCCAGAAGAAAAGAACAGTAGACTTGAAGGCATAGCAATGGAAACTAAAGAGAAAAAAGATTAGGAAAAAACCCAGAGCGTCAGTGACTTGCATCACAGTCTAACACACATGCAACTGGAGTCACAGAAGAGGAGAGAAGAGGGAGCAGCAAGGATATTTGAAGAAATAACAGTCAAAATCTTCCAAATTTAATCAAAACTATAAATCCATATTTCAGTGAAGTTCAGTGACTCTAAGCAGGATAAACACAAAGAAACCCAAAGAGAAAATCTTAAAAGCAAAGAGAGAAAAAAAAACACATTACATTTGAGGGAACAAAGACAAAAATGATCTCATCAGAAGCAGTGCAAGGTAGATGACAATGGAATGTCATTAAAGTGTATAAAAAAGTCAACTTAGAATTCTGCACCAGTGAAAACACCTTTTAAAAATGGTGAAATAAAGACTTTTCAGACAAGCAAAAAACTTTGACTAGTCATTGCCAGCTGACCTATATACCAAGAAATGTTGAAGTTCTTCAATATAATATAAGATGGAAAGTTCAATCTACAAAAAGAAATAAAGAGTGGCAGAAATGGTAAATCTGTGTGGAAATATATAAGCCTTTTATTCTCATAATGTATTTAACTTATAATTGTTTAAAGCAAAAATAATAACAATTAATTATGTATATAACATATGTAAATATAAAAGGCATGGCAAGAAAAATACAATGGCAGGGGGAAATGGAAGAATACTGTGTGTCACTTTATGAAATAGTATAATGTTATCTGAAGATAGACTGTGATAAATTAAAAAATGCATATTGCAAACTCAGAGCAATCACTGAGAAAAAAGAGGTATAGCTACTTAGGTCAATAGTGGAATTAAAATGGAATCCTAAAAAAAACAAACCAGCAAACGAACACCTCAAAAGAGGAAAGGAATGAGGGGAAAAAAGGAAGAAAGAACTTTTAAATGGAACAAAGAGAAAACAAGTAGGAGTTCAGTAGACTCAACTAAACTGATAATTATATTAAATGTAAATGGTCTAAACATACCAATTAGAAAGTAGAGATTGTCAGACTAGATGAAAAAAAGATCTGACTTTAAACTATCTATAGGAGATGCCCCTTGAATATTCAGATAAGTTAAAAGTGAAAGGATAGAAAATGTTATCATACCAATTCTACAAAAACTCTTTCAAATATAGAGAAGGGAATACTTCACAACTCATTTTATGAGGCCAGCATTGCCCTAATACCAAAATCAAGCAAAGACATTGCAAAAAAAGGAGTACAAACCAATGAATGGGAAACACACACACACACACACACACACACACACACACACACAAAACATTAGTAAATCAAATCCACAATATATAAGAATGATAATACATCATGACCAAGTAGAGTTTTCCCCAGGAATGCAAAGCTGGTTTAAAATTTTAAAATAAATCAATAGAATTCACCACAACAATGGACTAAAAAAGAAAAACCATCTCACTAATGGAAAATAGGTATTTTGACAAAATTCAATACCCATTCATGACAAAAACCTGTCATCCAACTAGGAAGAGAAGGACACTTTCTCAATTTGAAAAAGGGCATTCTCAAAAAACTTCTGGTGAAAGACCATAACTTCTCTCCTAATATTGGAAATTTGGCAAGGATGTTTGCTCCCACCACTTTTACTCAAAAATATACTGAAATCCTGTCCCATTCAAAGGGCAAGAAAAAGAAATAAAACACATCTAGATTGAAAAGGAATATGTAAAACTGTCTCCATCTGCAGACATTACGGTTTATGTAGCAAATGCTAAGGAATCTACAAGGAAGTTAATAAAACTAAGTTAAGCAAAGTTGCAGAAGACAAAGTCAATATATAAAGAATCAATTTCATTTCTACATACTAGTAATAAATAGCTGGAAAATAAAATTAAATAAACAATGTAATTTATAGTAGCAGGAAAAAATTAAAAATTTAGGATTATATTTAATAAAATATGTGGAAGACCTGTGTAATAAAAACTACAAATACTATTAAGAGAAATTAAAGAAGACCTAAATAAATGGAGAGATATATCATGTTCACGGATTAGAAGACTCCATAGTCTTAAGATGTCAATTCTCTACAAAGTCTATATAATTCCATTCAAAATTCCATTAATCTTTGTTGGCAGAAATTGACAAGCTGGTTTTAAAATTTATATAGAAATGTGAAAGGTCTAGAATGGCCAAAATAATTTTTTAAAAAGAAGAGCAAACTTCGAGAAATTATACTACCTGATTTCAAGATTTACTACAGAGTTACCGTAATCAAAACACTGTGGTATTTATGTAAAGATAGACTTAGGGATTAAAGAAACAGAATGGAGAGCCCAGGAATAGATCCACACATACATAATCAAATGATTTTCAATGAAATTACCAAGGTAATTCAATAGTGTAAAAGATAATATTTTCAACAAATGGTGCAGGAACAATTAAGCATTCAACTGGGAAAAAGAAATCTGGACCCTAACTTCATTATATATTCAAAATTAATTATAAAATGGACTGTTGACCTAAATGTAAAAGCAAAAATTATAAAACTCTTCAAAGAAAACAAAGGAGAATGTCTCTGTGATCTTGAAGTATGCAAAGATTTCTTAGAAATGACACAAAAAATATGAACTATAAAAGCAAAAATTGATAAACTGGGCTCCACCAAAATTTTAAACTTTTGCTCTTCAAAAGACACCATTAAGAAGATGAAAAGGCGAGCCATGGTCTGGGAGAAAATATTTGTACCCCTTTATACCTAACAAAGGATTTACACAGAATATAAAAAGAATATTTACTACAATTCAGTAGTAAGACAGATATAAAAATGGGCAAATGATTTAAATAGACAACTCAAAATATCTAGAAATAGCCAATAAGCACATGAAAAGACACTGAACATCATTAGTCATCAGGGAAAAAGAAAGTGAAACCACACAGAGGTACCAGTACACACCTACTAGAATGGTTAAAATCAAAAACACTGACATTGGGCTTCCCTGGTGGCGCAGTGGTTGAGAGTCTGCCTGCCGGTGCAGGGGACACGGGTTCGTGCCCCCATCCGGGAGGATACCACGTGCCTTGGAGAGGCTGGGCCCGGGAGCCATGGCCGCTGGGCCTGCGCGTCTGGAGCCTGTGTTCCGCAAGGGGAGAGGCCACAACAGTGAGAGGCCCGCATACCGCAAAAAAAAAACAAAACAAAACACTGACATTATCAAGTGTTGATGCTGTTGTGCAGACATCAGCAAACTATGGCCCACAGGCCATACTGAACCAAACTGTACACTTAAAATGGGTGAATTTTATAGTATCTTAATGCAGGTATCTCAATAAAGCTGAACAAAAAATGGGAAAAACTTTAGGTTTAGATGGGTTGCAGAATTTTATGGAGTTTTAGAAAAGTAGTACTGTGCATTTACTGTATGTTATATAACACCTCCAACTGGTTTTGTAGCAGCATCCCATATTTAAACACATCAATACAATTTCAGCAAACAAGTATTCCAACTAAGTGAGATGTCTAGAAACAACTGGACAGGTCAGGTTTTGTGGACCAGTGAGTTTTAGAACCAAAGTTTAGAAAAAATTTTGGGTGTACAGAGTTTTTAAAATTTAGTCTTGCAGATAAGGACTTACGGGGCTGTACCTGTTTTTGCATACCCTATATGTCCTGAGAGCCTCTTATGTGCCAAATACTGTTGTTAGGTGACTGCAGGGCACAGAAACACAAGCAACCCTGTTCTTGTGGAGACAGGAAGATAGGAATAGGAAGACAAGATAAGGGAGATGAGTATGATGCAGTTCCTACTAACCAGGGCTTACACGGTACAGGGAGTCAGATGCAGACAAGGAACAGCACCCAAGGCAGATTTCGATAATGCGATAGGAGACCTGGGGATGGAGAGATTAATTCAGTGGTCTCTGAGGAGACCAGGCTGGAAAGAGAGGCTGAGTTCCATCATGGTGGGTCTTATATGCATTTTATCCTGTAAGCAACAGCACTTCATTTATTAAACTGGACTCACCAGTGATGCTCTCTGAGTCTCTGTGATTGATATTCATGAGGTTTTCTTCACCCATCGGTGATGTAGAAGTGGCATTCTGGGATTGACTCATGCAAGATCCTTTCTTGTTTTGGTTGAGCAGGACAGCTTTGGTTTGAATCAGAGTAAAGGAAATCCATCAAGCCATTCAATAAAGAAAGGTTCTGGTCAAATGGATATTTTCTTTTAAACAGATTTTTTTTTTTGATGGTCAAATGACATCTGGAGCAATGAGTGCTCTCATGTGATTATCACTCTTTGGATGGTCATGACCTAAAACAAAGAACACATCAAGTGCTCATTAATAACAGAAGTCCAATTACAAAAAAAAAAAAAAAAAAAGAATGTTTTCCTAATGATACACACACCACATGGATAAATCTAGAAATAATATACTGGATGAAAGGGTCAGACAAAAAAAGCACATAGTTTATGATTCCATTTATATAAAATTCTAGAAAATGTAAACTTATCTATAGTGACAGAAAGCATATCAGTGGTTGCCTGGGGTTGGGGAGGGATGACCAAGGGGCAGGAGGAAAGTTTGGGGGATGATAAATATGTTCATTATTTTGATTGTGACAATGGTTTCACAAGTATAAACATATGTCAAAACTTATCAAATTATATATTTGAAATATGTGCAATCTAATGTAAATTATAATTCATTAAAGCTGTTTAAAAAATTTAAAGATAATCTACTGTTTAAAGTAAAATAATAATAATATATTGTGGGGTCTATAACATATGCAGAAGTAAAACATATTAAAACAATAGCACAAAAGCCAGAAGGAGAAAAATGGAAATATACTATAGCAAGGTGTTTGTACCATACATGAAATAGTAAAATATCACTCAAAGGTGAACTGTGATAAATTAAAAATGTATACTATAAACTCTAAAGCAAACAATAAAATAACTCAGAAATTACAGATATAAACCAACAAAGAAGATGAAATGGAATAATATAAAACAGGGTTTCTCAACTCTGGCACTACTGATATTTGAGTCTGGAAAATAATACTTCGTTGTGTGCATTGTAAGATGTTTAGCAGCATGCCAGTAGAACCCTCTTCCCAGACCCTCTCTCAGTTTTAACAGCTCCCAAATGTTTCCAGACAGTATCAAATGTCCCCTGGGGGGGCAAAGTTGCCCCCAGTTGAAAACTACTGATATAAAAGATGCTCAACCTCACTTGTAATTAAAATAAATAAAAATGTAAAGAAAATATTTTTCATCCATTAGATCAGCAAACATTAAGTTTTATTATACTCATTGTTGGAGGGGTACGGAGAAAGTGGTACTTATACTGTTGATAAAAGTGTAAATTGATACAAGCTTTTAGAAAGGCTATTTGGCAATGCCTACCAAAGTTTTCAATGCATATACACCATAATTTAACAATTCTACCATTAGGAATTTATATGATGGAGATACTCACAGAGTATGCCAAGATGTAGGCATAAGGATGCCCATACAGTATTTTCTTTTTTTAAAGCATATGTACACAACTGGACTCAAGATATCCATAAATGGGCTTCCCTGGTGGCGCAGTGGTTGAGAACCTACCTGCTAATGCAGGGGACACGGGTTCGAGCCCTGGTCTGGGAAGATCCCACATGCCGCGGAGCGGCTGGGCCCGTGAGCCACAACTACTGAGCCTGTGCATCTAGGAGCCTGTGCTCCACAACAAGAGAGGCCACGATAGTGAAGAGGCCTGCGCACCGCGATGAAGAGTGGGCCCCCACTTGCCACAACTAGAGAAAGCCCTCACACAGAAACGAAGACCTAGCACAGCCAAAAATAAAAATAAAATAAAATAAAATAAAAAATAAACCAAGTTTCATATAATCAATGTTTGTTTATAAAAAAAAAGATATCCATAAAGAAATAGTTTAATAATGGTATATACAAAGGAATATAATGCATTAAATATATATGTGTACTTTAAAAAACCCAATTGTTGCAATCAAAAAAACTGTTCAATATTAATTATAAACCTAGCTTTATATCAAAAGACAGTCTCTACTAAATAGTGTCTACTTAGCAACATGCAGCTGCTATTTATGGCTAATTCATTCTCATGCCTACTATTTACAGGCATTATAAACATGATGTGTGTTTTTTTTTTTTTTTTACAAGAGTCACCACCAAGAAATAGAAAAGACCAAAATAAAAGCACTAAAGGAGATTGAAAATGGTCACTGAGGTAGCACAGAGACACACTGTCAGCAACTACTAGGGAAGAGAATTTCAGAGACAGAATGGGCAACAGAATTAAACATTACAGAAAAGTCAAAAAAGATCTTTGGTTTAAAAAAGGTGGTATAGGGCTTCCCTGGTGGCGCAGTGGTTGAGAGTCCGCCTGCCGATGCAGGGGACATGGGTTCGTGCCCCGGTCCGGGAAGATCCCACATGCAGCGGAGCGGCTGGGCCCGTGAGCCATGGCCCCTGAGCCTGAGCGTCTGGAGCCTGTGCTCTGCAACAGGAGAGGCCACAACAGTGAGAGGCCCACATACCGGAAAAAAAAAAAAAAAAAAAAAAGGTGGTATACAGAGACCATAAAATCAACAGTAACCTTCTAGAAACCAGTTCAATCAAGAGATTAGGCCCAAAGCCAGGCTGTAAGTGATCAGGAAGCAAGATGGTAAGAATGGAGTTTAGTGAGTATACACCAAGATTTGCAACATCCAGGCTTTCATGGATTTCCGTGGATAAGTAAAATTTCAAAAACTTCTGTGGTTATTGGCATAGGGCTGCTGTTTTTATACTTCATAAATGAAAAAAAAATGTATAAGGAAAAACACATAATAAACAACATCCCTTCCCAGAAAAGTTTATAATTTTATGTTGACATAAAAATTTTCCTATATTTGAATTCAGAAAATTTTTATAAATTTTTAAAATTCTATTTTATATAAACAGTTATTTTCTTGAAACATGTTTGTCAATATAGCAATCTGTACTAGCCAGTGCAGCATGAAGTTAAAGCTCAAAAGTATTTGTTTAGGCACTTTAATTTTAATTCCAGTTGTCAAAAATTCATTTTCACATCCAAGATCAGTCTACTGTGTGCAATTAAATTCTTCCCCATGTGCTATCTTATTGTCCAAACTGCCATTCCCAAATTAACCACTGAAAGGGCAATGGAACAAAAGTGCATCAAACCAGTAAAGATTTGCCCATCCCCACCCAGTGAGGTTGGGAGGAGGCCATTATTGAGCTTACCAGAGTGGTTAAGAACATGGATTCTGAACTCCAGCTCTACTACTAGTTGCATGACCTTGAATAAGTTACTTAACCTTGTTTCTTCATTTGTAAAATGGGCTTAATAACATGGTCTACTTTATGGGATTACTATGGGGATTAAGTGAGTTATGAGAGGATAACAGTAGCACCTACCTCAGATGGTCACTGGGGAAATTACATGAGTTAATACATGTAAAGCTCTTAGAACAATACCTTAGAATACAGTAAATACTATGTAAATATTAGTTATTATTTCTACCACCACCAAATAGTACAGTTTTATCATTATCATTATTATTATTGTACCTTACACAAACTTGGGCACACTGTAAACCCTACTGTTGACTGCTAATACAATCTGCTTGCAACCTAAGAAGTCACATTTACTTCCTGCCCTCTGATGAGTGATGTTAGTTTTGTGCCCTTAATCATTTTCTTTCTACCTCTGGGATTCATGAACAAACTGAAAGCTTGCAGAGTCAGAGTTCTAAATGTAGTAGAAACTAAACTTTGGCAAGCACAAGCAACACATATTCAGTGCATTTCCTAGTTTGTACACACTTATTCTTAGTAACTCCTTGAGTATCATCTACTTGCTATGCTGGATCTTTATTCACTCTTTTTAGGAACAACTTCACGGCTTTTTTTAATAAAACAGTCAACCAAGCATGCGTTATTTAACAAGAAGCCAGCCTTTGTAATTCTTGCACATTTAGGAAAAAATAAAGTAAACCAGCTAAGTGACTTATTTTAATAAGAATGAGACTTAAAAAGAACAAACAAAACATGTCATTGATATAAACATTGCTGGCAGAATACAACATGCTGATGACTTAGTTAGCCTAGCCATGGAAACTAAAATGGCCAACAGTGAGGGCCTAAATACAGGCCCTGTGCCTTAAAAAAATCTTGCTACTTCCTTAAAACGGGATACTCTGGCCAAAACAGACTTATAGAAAAGGCTAAAACAATTCAGGACACTTCACTTTGACAAGAGTGCAGAGCCTAGAAATACAGTACATATAATGATGTGACAAACATTTAAATTGGAAAAATATATTTAAAATTTTTATTGTACAAATAATACTCTGGGGATTAATTTAAAATACCTGTTGGCTGCTGATCTGAATGCAGAAGTGGGAACAGTGCCAATCACCAACTCCAGCAGCCCCTCTTGTAGACAGTGTCAACCTTCATCCAGACAAAAGATAAACTGTATAATTTAAAACATAAAATACATGGACCATGTTTCCTATATTAAATAATAGATTTTCAACAAAGACAGAGACTCACTAATTTTTAATGTATCTGGCTACATCAAAGATAAAATTTACAAAAAATACACAATAATTTTAAAATCAGATATTGAACCACAAAAAAAAGACTATACAATGGCTTCAGTGCTAAAAGCTGAAAAAAGGGTGGCAGGGGGTGTCACCCCCGAAATCCAACCTGGATAATGAGAAGCAGATCTTACAAAGGCAGAGCCCACACACCAACACCAAGGCCAGCTTCATGGGTGAGCCACAGTACACTGCATTCCGAACAGTTACTCTACCAGCAACTGTAAAGTTCACCCTGAGGGGCTATTTGGTCCTAGCAAATATTTGATCCCTCTTTTTTTTGTATCATTCAATTTAATGACCAGTAGGGTTTTCAGAATATAAACTACATGGAGGCAGCTCTACTTACAAGCAGGACAAATTCCAAAAGGCTGTTAAAGCCGTTAGTCTAAAAGAAATCCGTTAGTCTAAAAGTCCAAAACCATGAGTGAAATTTAGGTTTATGGGGTCTGCATTTCCTCCGAGCTGGTATATTTTTGGCATTAAAAAAAAATAAGTGTCCTGTTTTGTTTACAATGAACATTTACTGAGGCAGGCAACCCTTCCCTGCCACAATCTCCACCAACAGAAGGGAGGCAACCTCTGGCAGCTAAGGAATCCACACCAGAGTTTCACCTGCAGATTAGAAAAGGCCTTGAACCCATGGTGCATCTGTGGCTTTTGATAAGTTTCCACAGCACC